AGAGGAGAATGGAGGAGAAGGGATTGCGGCGTGACCATCCCCCCTGGGGGGTGATTTCTCGCTTTCTGTCTCTATGTCTCTCTCTGTCTGTCTGGCGAGTGCACGCGCCCTACAGTGAAAATCTCTCCAAAAAAAAAAAAAAAAAGAGAGAGAGATAGCCCCTCTTAAAAAGTCTTGACACCAGTGCACCCCAAGTTTCAGCCAGGCCTTGATCACGGGCATGCGTGTGGTCTGATGTTGTCAGGGAGGTCTGCAGACATGAACCTGGAACCTTCCCCTGTGAGTCTCAGAGAGCACCATATTTTCCCGTGGGGCACCTTCTGGCCAGTCAGGCACTGATATGAGCAGAACACATCCACTGGTTTAATTATTGGGCTATAGGTGACCTCGTGACCAAGGTGCCAGATTCTCATGTGGCTGACTGTGGTTCAAGTCCCAGATCCGGCGGTTTGAAACTCGGATGGAGCATCCATCAAAATCTCAAAAGGAGAATGGAGGAGAAGAAGGGATTGTAGTGTAGTCATCCCCCAAGGGGCAATTTCTCATTTTTTCTCCCTCTGTTTTTCCAGTGAGTGCATGTGCCCTATAGCAAAATGTTCCAAAAAATAAATGAATAAAAATAAAATATCTTCTCAGCTTCAAAGCATTCTTTCTGTTTTAGAATTATTTTCTTAACTTTATTTTATTCATTTATTTATTTTAACTTGACCACAGAGGGACAGAGTTAGACAGACCAAGCCACCAGGTCCAGGACTCGAACTGTGCTTGGCGCTATGTGGGAGTCCAGCACCTTTAACCACCACGCCACCTGCTGGCACTCTATAAATTTTTCCTTTTTCGTTCATTCCATTCTCATTCATTCCTTCCTTCTGCTACGCGAATATATTTTTTAAAGAACTATTTATTTAATATTATTGTTGTTATTAGTATTTGACCAGAGAGAGACAGAAAGAATGAGGAAGCAAGTCACCAGATCTGGTACTTAAACATCGGGAGTTCAGCACCTTAACCACCATGCCACCTCCGGCCTGCAAGTTTTTTTTTTTTTTTGTATAGGATGTGGTCGCTCACCAGAAAGACAGAGACAGAGAGTGAGAAATCACCGCCCAGGAGGGATGGCCAGGTTGCCATCCCTCCTCCTCCATTCTCTCAGGATCTTGGGCACGCATGCACATGTGCCTGGTGTGAGTTTAAGCCACTGGGGTCCAGGACTCGAACCACTGTCACCTACACAGGAGTCCAGCGACATAGCCATTATGCCAACTGCTGGCCCTCATGCAAATAGTTTTAACCCTGCTCTACACCTGTTCTCCTGGGGAGTCCCTGGAGCAAGAGGAACAGGATGCAGCAGCTACCCACTTGTCATATAGGGTGGGAGAGAAGGTGACAGGCCTGCCTGCGTGGTCCCCAGGGACTTGGGAATCCAGGGTGGGTGGGAGCATGCAAGGAAATCCCAGATACTGCTTGGGGGAAGGTGCAGAACCCGGGATTCCCCTAGAATCCTGGTTCCTTCCCTTTCTGAGTCCCCACCCATTTGCCAGGATCCCACCCCCTTCCTCAGTCCACTGCCCTGCCCGTTCCTGGGTCCAGAGCCTATTTCTGCAGTTTGGAAAACCTCAGGAGGACGAACCTCCTTCATCCTTACCATCACAGGGGGGGCAGGGAACTGGTATTAAACGCGTGCTTCTGGCTTTAGAAGAGTAGAGACCCAGGGATTCCTTGGACCTTATCTTCCAGACCATCTGTGTCTTTTTTTCCCTCTCCAAACGGAACCCTCTGTCTTCTAGTTTATAGCCGTTTAATTGCAAAAGCCAGGCCGTTTGTGGGCGACCACAGGGCAGCGACCCCTTTCACTTACCGGCTCAGAAGAGGGTAAAGGGGAAGAGTTCTGCTCCCCCACGTCAGAGCCACAGCCTACAAGTCCCATCTTTG